GGGGGGGGGGGGGGGTGGGGTTGGGGGGGGGGGCGGTTAGTGGCCTGGAGTCCTAGAGCAGGGATGCTGAAATAAATGGGGCTGGAGGATGCAGGAGGTGCCTGTCCTGACCTGCTCTTTGGAGATACAGGGTCCCAATCTTGTGAGGCCATTGACAAAGGTAGCCTTGGGCCCAATGGGTGGGAGAGAAGTGAACCCAGTCCTTTTTGTACTCTGGGCCTGCATCGCCAGCCCTCAGGCCCAGAGGCCCAATGCTTTGGGGCTCCCTGCAAGACACCTATGGTGACCTTTGATCCAGGGAGTGGGGATTTCTGACCCCACCCTCTGTCATAGCCTGTCAGCCCAGCTTTCTCTGCCTCTAGTTGGAGTCAGGTGTTATTTCCAGACTGAATGTGTGTGGGGAGGCGAGAAGAGTCAGGGCGCCCCAGCATATCCCAGGAGAGGAGGGGGCCCTCTCCTCCTTGGAGGTGTCTGGGCTGTGGGAGGTATGGAAGTGGGAAGAGGAAGTGGGAGGAGGGGAGACGGGAGAGAGGGAGGTGGCTGCAAGAATGTGACCCAGAGAGCAGGCCCTGGCCGAGGGGATTTCCAGAGTGGTTCCTCCCTCCCTCCTTCACTCTCTCCTGGGCTTCTCTTGCTGCCTGCCGCCAAAGCCTGCCCCCCTCCTGCCTGAGCAGCCCCTTCCTCAGTCCAGACAGGCTTTTTAGCCAAGCTTCCCCCCCCCCCCACTGATGCCCTAAGGCAGCTGTCCCAACCTAGACCCTCCAGCTCTGGCTTTCGTTTTCCCCACCTGACGTGGGGAAACCCCAAGACTGGAACTTCCCCTCCCAGCTGCCCCCCTTACCCCTAGCTTAAGGCTCTAGCCCCCCCTTCTCCCCAGCAAACACACACTTTCTGCACTGCACAGATGTCCCCTTGGAGCGTCCATAGGAATGGAGGGCTCTGCTCAGGGCTCCCCTAATCTCTTCTGAGGAGTCACGGCCCTGGGCAGGGCAGCAAGACAGGATGCTGCACTGTCCCCTTGCTCCTCCTCCAAGAGCTTCTGTTTCTCTCCCTTGGAGCATGTAACATTGAGTTGCTGGGGGCAACCACATCGCCCCCCCATCCTCCCTATTGGGGCCAGGGGAGGTGGGGCACTCAGCCCTGGAAACCCCCTCTGGATTACTTCGGCAGCTTTCAGTTTGGTGTTGAGCTGCAGCTGGCCTGGCAGGACCCTGGGGGCAGAAGGGAATGGGTGTGGGCAGGCTGGACAGGAAGGCCTTGTCCTGTCAGCACCCTGCCCACATGCCCACCCAGCCAAGGCTCTCCTGAAGGCTAGCGATGGAACCTGGCACTCCCACCCCCAGGATCCTGGCTTTCCACACCAACCCTCACTTCCTGGCCCACATTCTCACTTCCTGCACCTGCCCTGTGGGTAGCTAGTTCATGGTTGATGTGTTTCTTCTAACCCCAAGACCCCAGCCCACCCTCTTTGGCCTGGGCCCTGACTCCAAGCCCTGCCTCTGCTTCCCAGGCTGGTCCACCTGGCAGTGATTCATGAAGCCCCAGCAGTGCTGCTCTGCTGCCTGGCTTTGCTGCCCCAGGAGGTCCTGGACATTCAGAACAACCTTTACCAGGTAGGCGGAGAGAGTGGGCTATTTCTGTCCTGGAACCATCCCCAGCAGCCACACTGGAATCCATAGGCCTCTCACTCAGGAAACCATATACCAGACTTTGGGCTAGGAGCTGAGGATACAGACATGAATGAGACAGAGCTTCTGCCTCAGGGTGCTCACCCTGGGCTGAGGGACTTGTGTCAACACCTAAATACAGGCATGGTGCCAAGAGTTGTGTTAAAGACACACACTAGCTGCTGTGGGGTCTGGTGTTTGTGTGGAGCAGCCAGAGAAGGCTTAGTACAGGAGGTGACATCTGAATGGAATCCCAAAGGAGAGGTTTGCCAGGGGGAGACTGCCTGGTGCCTCTGTCTTTCTTCCCTGCAACCCAATCCCTGTGGATAGCAGAGGTCTCCCCACAGAGTGAGAACTACATTCTACCCATATATCATTTCTCCAGGGGCTAAGGAGAGCTACAAGAAGGGCAGTGGACCACTTTCTTCATCTTACTTCCAGAATTGGGGTCCCAAGAGCTTGGTGGGGGGTGGCAGGGGGAAGGGCTTGGTAGCATTTCCTTGGAAGACCAGGGCTATGGCCTTTATAAACTGCTTTCAAAGATGGTGCTGGCAGTTGGCAATTCCTATGCCCACCCTAGCATGTTCCTAGAGGTGGGAGCATGCTGCAGTGGCCTGTGACCCTCTGTTTGTGCTTACAGACAGCACTCCATCTGGCTGTACATCTGGACCAACCGGGAGCAGTTCGGGCACTGGTGCTGAAGGGGGCCAGCCGGGAACTCCAAGACCAGCACGGGGACACAGCCTTGCATGTGGCCTGCCAGCGCCAGCACCTGGCCTGTGCCCGCTGCCTATTGGAGGGGCAGCCAGAGCCAGGCAGAGGACCATCTCACTCTCTGGACCTTCAGCTACAAAACTGGCAAGGTGGGACAGCCTCAGGACCTGTGGAATGAGAAGGGCATAGGAGACGGGGGACCCCATCCTCAAGGAAGGGAGGGTCCCAGCTCATCCACTGATGCCCTTCCAACTCTACATAGGTACTCAGTACATCTTTGCTAAATGATTGAATGAATTGATTTAGAGTTTACCCAGTACCTACTGTATGCTGAGCAGAAAATGAAATCTTGCCTTAAGACATTCGGTCTAACAGACATTAGATTAACTCATTCATCCATTCAACAAAAATGTTCTGAGGGTTTTCTGTGTGCCAGACACTATCCTTAGAGCTAGGCTTGCATCTATAAGTGAAACAGAAAGACTGGGACGAACAGTAAATATAAGAAGTGCATGACATAGTATGCTAAAAGGTAGTAAGTGCTGCTGGAAAAAGCAGAGTGGAGTGAGGGGAACTGGGAGTGAGAAGTGGGGAGTTGATATGATTGTTAAATAGGGTGTTCAGGAAGGCTAAGGGAGCCAGAGCCATCTGAGTAGAGTCTTGAAGGAACTGAAGAGTGTACATTTGAATCTAAATCTATTACTAAGCAAGTGGGCGAAGGGCTTTCCAGACCAGAACAGAGACAGCAGAAAGACCCAGGGATCGCACAGGGGGAAGTGGCCCTGGGAAGGCCTGGGGCATGAGGATCCTGGATGGCTTTCAGAAAGCATGGCTTTTGGACTGGACTTGAAGGCAGGTAGGGTTTTACTGTGTGTGTGTGTGTGTGTGTGTGTGTGTGTGTGTGTGAGAGAGAGAGAGAGAGAGAGAGAGAGAGAGAGAGAGAGAGAGAGAGACAGAGAGAGAGACAGAGAGAGGCAGAGGCATGTGTACTAGAGGAGCGTGTGTTTTTGGGGGTGTCACTCAGCAGCAGCCTGACCCCTGAAGCATGAAAGTTTCAATAACATGACTCTGAATAGGTGGAAACTTTGAGTTCCTTTCCCCTTAGACTTTTGAGGGGGTTTTTGGGTTTGAGTTTTAACAGTCCTGTGATTAGAGACATTGAGTGGGCAATGAGTCCCTTGGGGCTGGGCGGCAGGGAGGTCCCTGAAGAGAGGAAGAGGGGATGAGAAGGAGTTGGTGAATGCAGATCAGCAGCCCTCCCCGTCACCCCAGGTCTGGCCTGTCTCCACATTGCCACCCTGCAGAGGAACCAGCCACTTATGGAACTGCTGCTTCAGAATGGAGCTGAAATTGATGCGCAGGTGAGGCAGCCAATAGGGGTACTACCCAGCTCCAGGGGCCCACCCCCACCTGGTCCTACCCCAGTTCCCCAGCCCAGCAGTTAAGTGGTGGCGCTCACCTCATCCAGAGCCCAGGCCCAGCACGCTGCCTCTGGAGGGCCTGGGCTGACATCCTGTTTCTCTCTAGGAAGGCACCAGTGGGAAGACAGCGCTGCACCTGGCAGTGGAAACCCAGGAGCGGGGTCTGGTGCAGTTTCTCCTCCAGGCGGGGGCCCGTGTAGACGCCCGCATGCTGAACGGGTGCACACCCCTGCACCTGGCAGCAGGCCGGCGCCTCGACAACATCTCATCTACTCTGTGTGAGGCGGGTGCAGACTCCCTTCTGCGGAACGTGGAGGATGAGACGCCCCAGGACCTGGCCGAGGTAGTAAGAGGCATATACTTCTCTGCTCTCCAGGGCTCCACACCCATGGCAGAGACAGGTGCCGTCATTAGCTGGAAAGGCCAAGGAGCTTGGAGTCCTGGGATATGTCCAGGGCTCTGCCACCCATCAGTGGTGGGGCCTTGGACCAGCCTCTGCCTCTCTGAGCCTATTTCCTTATTTCTTACTGGTCAGGACCAGGGAATCCAAGTTTGGACCCTTTTTTTTTTTTTTT